CTTTATCACCTATTCAGGTTGTAAATCGTGTTTTTAAAAAGTAACTAAGTAATTAATTACTTTTGAAAATAAGTAATCAGTAAAGTAATGGGATTACTTTTTTGGAGAAGTAATCAGTAATTAGTTACTGATTACTTTTTTCAAGTAACTTGACCAACACTGTTCATGTATTCACGGGAGTCTAGAGGGACTGACTCGCTTTTTGAGCCAACCTCAAGTGGCCATTAGAGGAACTGCAGTTGGTGGGACATCTCTTTTCAGACCCATCTTGACTGAGATTTGTAAAGCAAACCATGACTTGAAGTTTCTGCGACTGCATGTTAGTGTGTTTGAGCAGCAAGACTAACACGGCTCACTGCAATCTGTTGTTTGTGTGGATGCAAAATGTGCTCATTGGCATAAAGTGACTTCATCGCTATCACAGAAATAAATAATCCTCCTTTTCTGTGCCTCTCTTCCAAACAGCAGACTCCAACATTACAGCGGAGGACGGTTTTGATGAGAAGGGCTGTCACTGCGACATCTCGGTGGAGGACTTGCAGCCCTCGGTCAAGTCTGTCATCCGAGCTGTCAGGTGAGGAAATGAGACTTCCTCTTTCAGTCTAACTTCTGCTGCAGTTTTCCGTCACCCAGGCTGCAGGCAAACTAACCCTGATTGCGGCCAGCCCCCCGCTGTCTTCTGATTGAGCTCAGGGGATTAAAGTGACCGGATGGTTTTTATTTCTGTTAGTTTATTTTTGGATCATCAGGAAATATGGTTAGTGGGAGGATTAAAAGCTGTGTAAGGTGATCGTGTCACAAGGAAACAAGAGTAGACACGTCTTCATGTCCTTCGTGTCCTGAAAGAACTAAAGAGCCTGTTAGATGCAAGGTCATCATACCTTCCCGACCAGCAGGAGTTGAATAAAAGTTAAAAGCAGCTCAGTGTTTGAATTATTAAATATATAATAACTAAGACTATAATGCTGAAGCTTCTGTGGCTCCTTAACAAGACCACCTCATGTTGGTTTTTCTTTTAGTTTTTACTTTATGAGCATCGACAGACTTTCAGTTTTATCAAAAAACAATAATAAACATCAGTGGTTCACCTCATCCCTTTATCCAGCTTCCACATATAAAGTGAACTGGCTGTCACGCATCACTTTGTGGCCACAGACGGGTGTGAAAATAGTGACGCAGCCACATCAGTCACTATAGCCTTCACTAAAGGCTACAACTTTAACGTAGGTACCTGCTGTATTTACAAAATTATTTAGGATCAAAAATGCTGGAAATACAGCAAATACACATGAGTGCACTTCAAAGGCTTAAAAATAGGATTTTTTTTGCATTGTTTCATTAAATATGCTTCAGTTATTGTGCAAAGAAAAGTGGAAATTCACTAATCAAATGTCCTACGTGCCAAACTCGAGGCCACTGAGGGGCCAAGAAGCTAAACAGACGTGCTCACTTCCATGGCACCTGCAAGCTAACGAGCTTCCTTATGCAGAACTCACTCAAAGGAAAACTAATGTTCAAGCTCATAGTAGAGTTTCGTGTGTGCACTCACTCACAACAGTCTCACATTCTGAGGTACATTCTGAAACCACATGACAGCACAGAGATGCGAAGGTAAGTCGGGGGCGCGGCAAACTCAGGAAGTCACTAAATGAGATTTGCAGCTGCAGCAAAAATGTTCTTTGAGTCAAATCTGACAATAGCAGAAGCCAGGTATGCCGTTCACCTCATAACTTGTCACTTGTACATTTTTATATGCATCACATTTCATGTCAGAAGGCTCAGTGGTATGTACATGTAAACTACATCATCAGGACTTCCTGTTTTGCTCTATGAAATGATGCTGGCTGAGCATCTTATTAAATATTTTTGATATTTTGAAGCATCGCATGGACCAAAACTGTATATAGGAAGGCTGTGACAATATAATCCAGGCTGTTTTCATTGTTTCCGACCCCTTTGACTCTCCACTTTCAGCCACGTTCCCTTGAATTCAGCCTCAGTGCTCCACAGGTGTTTCCATCCACACACACATGCAGCTAAAATCTGCCTTTTTTCTGAGAAAGTGATTGTTCTGAGCGTTTGAAATGCTGTGAACAAACAGGTCGACACATTAAAAGCACCATTAAGCACTATTAAAATAAATGCAGGCTTTAATTTGTTTACATTAGCTCAGGCTGGTAGTGTCACGGCTAGACCACAGCTCCCCCTTCTGGTGAATTTATGAACTTCTGTGCTGTTCATGCAGGATCATGAAGTTTCATGTAGCCAAGAAGAAGTTTAAGGAGACGCTGCGTCCGTATGATGTGAAGGACGTGATCGAACAGTACTCTGCCGGTCACCTGGACATGCTGTGCCGCATCAAGAGCCTGCAGACCAGGTAGGACGGACATTGTACTGCAAAAGATCTGCATGTGTGTATGCATTCCTTATACGTGCATGGGTTTATCTCACGTTGTTTTTTTCTTTTTGCAGTTTGTGTTTTTGCATGTTTGTACCTGTGTTTGCTTCTCTCCAGGCTGGACATGATAGTAGGCCCACAGCCCCTGAGCAGCCGAGCCAAGGCCTTTTCCTCCCCCTCCCTGTCTGTCTATTACAGCCAGGGGAGGAAGAACTCCACCCAGGGGTCAGAATTCCCCCGACTTACTCAATCTACCCACCTAATCTGTCATTCGCATGTCACATGGGTTCAGTTCACTCCTCAGTCGCACAATTCAGGAGCTGGTTTGTTGTCGGAAACGTGAAGGAAAACAAAGTGCGGCCTCATTTATCAACCATTCGTTTGTCCAGCATACCTGACCGCCCCTTCATGGAGAAGTGATGGCAATGAGGTTTACAAAACATGCACTCGGGACAATTAGTGTAACTGTTGAGTTCATTTTTTGCTAGAAAGAGAGAGCATATTTGCCCCCATATTGGCTTCCCTTCATTGGCTTCCTGTTAAATCCAGAATCAAATTTAAAAGGCCCCATCTTATTTTAATGACCTTATAGTACCATATAAACCCATTAGAGCACTTCCCTCTCAGACTGCAGGCTGACTTGTGGTTCCTAGAGTATTTAAAAGTAGAATGGGAGGGAGACCCTTCAGCTTTCAGGCCCCTCTTCTGTGGAAACTCCCAGTTTGGATTCTACTTTTAAGATTAGGCTTAAAACTTTCCCTTTGACAAAGCATATAGTTCGGTCTGGATCAACTGATCCATAGAAACCAGTTGCTGAGCCTGGCTCACCAGAGATGAAATAGAGAAATGGATGGTGTGCAGCGTGCATGTCTAAGGACTGCGGGGACCTCCTTTGTAGATGGTGTTGAGTGGCTGACGAGTACATAATACTATATGTCTGTGAAGGTTCTCAGTCATCCAGGTCATCGTAGTCTAAGGAGCTTGCAAAGAAAAGCGTCTGGACTTCTTTAAGTTACTTGAAGACGTTTCACCTTCATCCGAGAAGCTTCTTCAGTTCTAAGGTCAAATGGTGGAGAGTCCCAGATTTAAACCTAGTGGGAGTTTCCCCCGACAGAGGGACAAAAGGACCCCCTGATGATCCTCTAATCGCCTGAGCCAAGGTGTGAAACTGGGTGTGGGTCCCAATCAGCCAGAGATGGCTTCTTTCACTCCTCTTTCAAACCATCACCACCACCAGAGAGGACAGATGGTTTGAAAGAGGAGTGAAAGAAGCATCTATGTCCACTGTGAGCGACCATCTTTGAACAGAGGCGGTGGTTTACGACACCAACTGTCTACCATCTATAATCCAGTTTTGAGTTCCCCCAGACGCCTTAACGCCCACTCACATCCTGGGCCATCTGACCTCAGGAATTCGCATGATAAGGTGGGGCCAGGTTTCACAATGAGCTCACCTGAAACTCTGGCTGATTGGGACCCACACCCAGTTTCACACCTTGGCTCAGGCGATTAGAGGATCATCAGGGGGTCCTTTTGTCCCTCTGTGGGGGGAAACTCCCACTAGGGTTATATCTGGGACTCTCCACCATTTGACCTTAGAACTGAAGAAGCTTCTCGGATGAAGGTGAAACGTCTTCAAGTAACTTAAAGAAGTCCAGACGCGTTTCTTTGCAAGCTCCTTTGACATAATACTATACTTCAGCTTTGCCAACATCTCACTTCTGATTTCGGACAGGCAAAGTCCCTCTTGATCCAAAATTCACTTAGTAGCACTGCTTGGAAACTTTTCTGAATGAACCTTGTTTTCACTGCTCACCAGGACATTAAACTATTTTTATGTGTACAGTTTTCACATTGAAGAACAATTACAAACACAGCTTTATAAATCCCAAACTCAGAGGATTTCAGCTTACCATTTAACAATGATGTAAGCCCCTGAAGCATGCTGTGTGTGTCCTAAGAGACTGGCAGGTTTGTCAGGAAGGGGACAGATGAAGCCTAAATCAGCTTGAGTTGACACATCGTGCAGTACTACTCCTTCCAGTCCTCCATAAAACTGATAGATTTGCTTGTCTTCGTTAATCAGGACCTCTACATTGCTGCCAGTGTTGTTTTGTTGCCTTTACCTTCACTTCTTGTTCCACACGTGCCACCCGAGGCTTTTAAGGAGAAGCGGTTGACAGTTCGGGATTTGTCACCACAGCTGTGCACAGCTGTGCCTTTATATGCATGATAAATCCAAGTTGTCTGCAGGTTTTAAAAAAACGTGTAAGTTTGGAGCTTTTTTCCTCTGATGATTTGATAAATGAGGCCCCTGGTTGACGAGCTAAAGCCTGAATTAACTGAGCTTCGAGCCACACTCTGCTCCCACACACAAACACGTCCTGGGTATGATATCTGCTACTAACCAGCCACTAACAGATCTCTTAAGTAAATTGACTTCTGTTCTGGGAAAGGAGTTTGCAATGTGATGCTAACATGTTTTAGACACACTCCAATCACACACCAGAAGGTTTCACCTGTCATTGCTGTTGCAACACTGCCCCCTGCTGATGCTGTGTGCACTCTGTTGCTGCAGATGAGCCAATCCGACTTGCAAAGGGTGGAGGGCCTGTCAACATGCTTCTTTTTTTTTTAACCACATCTCGTAGTCACGAGTAGAGTCTAACACAGGTCAGCAAGCTCCAGCCACAAATAACTTCAACCTGCCATGACCTCACTGTAATATATGAAAAACATCTGTAATATTAGAATAGAGAAAGCTGTAACAGTCCTTAAATTTACGCAAAATGTTTTTGTTTTTAGTAAAATGTTTAATGGAGGCTGGTCTTGTCTATATTTGGATCCAGTCCACAATTACAATCCCCAGATCATCTACATTTGATCTGCATGTTTCATATACAAGAGGAGCGTGAATCATTACCATCTTATCCTGAATTACATTTCTTATTTGAAATTGGACTGATTGACAATGAACGAGTGTCGTAACTCTTCTCGCTTCCTCCTGTAAAAATACAGTTTTAAAATCCAGATCTAACTTCCCTGTGTAGTTCTCGATCCCCTTTTCTTCTAGCATGATTTAGTGGTGACATACAGGGTGTCCACACCTGACTTTTTCTTCTTCCTTTTGGTGAACTTGTGATTGCATGATCTTGGCTCCGTTTTTCTGTGCTCTCTGTCAGCTTTGACACAAACAGACTTTATTAACCAGATCCCACAGAGCCTGACTGGATTTAGCATTTAGACATTAATATAATCATGTGTAAACCAAAATATAAGACTCTAATGTTTAGAGTCTGAAATAAAAAGTTGTGTTGTTAATTTGTAAAATGTAATCTGGTTGGTAATGTTTGGAAGTGTGAAGTCCAGTGAGGAAGAATAATCTCTCGTGTTTGGTTTTGCTTTATTGGGGGAAAAGTTTACTTTAGATAAACTGTTCTAATTTTCCTTCCTTTTGTAGTCCTCCTTTGTACATTTTAAAATTTATATCTTATTGTGTTTGCTTGTATTTCTGTGCATTTCAGGGTGGACCAAATCCTTGGGAAGGGCCAAATTCCTCTGGATAAGAAGATTCGAGACAAGCTTCTCTCTGATGGCGATATACTGGAGGACATGAGCATGCTGGGTCGCGTCTGTAAGGTGGAGCGACAGGTCCGTCCTCTGGGTTTTGTTCTTAAAATTTCGGGAGGTTGAGAGGATCAGGGTTTTTGCTAATTGGAGCTTCAGTGTTTGCTGCCTCCGGTCCTCATTACGTACCCCAAAATGCCCCCAGTGTTTCTGGTCAATAAGACTAGAACAGCGCTACGTAAGTGCCATCGACAGCAAACCAGCTAAATACAGTAAAATGTGATCCATCTCGACTGCGTTTAAGTTTCCTAAAGTTACAGGAAATAAACTTGTTGGTATTCAGAGTGAGAAAAGGCAGGTATCAAAACAAGATCAGCATAAAACTGAAAAGCTGAGGGAAACGATTAGCCGGCTCTGTCCCGCTTCCAGTTTTTACGCAACATTAGACTAACTCAGCTCATCACATTCATTTTCAAACTGCTTATAAGACTAAAACATCTTACTGATCATTTTATTTTGGTATTTGTCAAAATGGGTAGAATTCAAAACCTTATTAAGACGGCCCTGAATCACATTTTACTCTTTACAGCAAATTGATTTTTTTCAGGTGCACAAGTTGAAAGTGGCAAATGCATATGAATCCTAAAACTTAAAACAAACATCTGGTAGAAAGCAAGATGCTGTTGAGGTAGCTGTGAGCCCCCAGACCTGATTCTTAAGCATTCAAATCAACACTTAGAGCATCTGTACATTCTGCCAGATGTGGCGGTAGACCACTCCTTTATTCCTCTCCTCTGCTCACAGGTCCAGTCGATTGAGTCGAAGTTGGACTCCCTGCTCGACATTTATCGTCAGGTTCTGCGTAAAGGCTCGTCGTCGGCCCTCACGCTTTCCTCTCTTCCCCTCTTCGAGCTGGAACAGACTTCAGACTACCACTCCTCTGTCTTCAGCAAGGACATGTCCTGCTCCACCCAGGTCAGCAGCAGTGGAGCGCCGCCCACCAGCGGCTTCGTCACTCGCTCCTCCACCAGTTCTCATCTCTCGCAGGGAGGACTCCATCTCATCCTCGGGCCCCCCAACGAGCTCAACCTCAATCTCAATGCCCCCTCTTCCACACCTCCCTCTGGCCTCGCATCATCCTCTTTCAGCCCATCGCCCCTACCACATCATCATCACCATCGCCACCATCCCCAGGCTCAGGCCACCACACCTGAAAGTGGCACTGAGGAGGCTATGGGTAGTTCTCCACCCATCCTCACCCCGAACAGTGTCAGCAGTTCAGGGGACAGAGGAGTGAGAGATGGTGGGTTTCCTCTTCTGGCGAGGCTTCCACCTCCACCCCCTCCTAGCCGAAGTCACGGCCCAGGCACTTTAGTGCGAACAGCCTCCATAGAGGTATCCCCTGACATAGAGGACTTTTGTGGAGGTCTTGGGACACAGATGGAGGATAGCGTTGTCAGGAAGGACCTTGGCCTTGGGTTGGGGCTCAACAGATTGGGGCAGCAGCTCCAAGGGAACAGCAACAGCAGGCTTAGCACAAAGGAGGAGGGATCCTGGAGGAGACAAATGAGCTTGGAGCTGGAGCCCCTGGTGCCACCAGCGCTGGGCTGCTGCTCTGGGTCCAACGAGATGGACCGAGGATTGGGCAAGTCCATGTCGGTGCAGGATCTGAAGCAAGTAGCCCCCACCCATCACGGCCACAGCCTGTCATCTCCAAGCCCCAGTACAAGCAGTGACTCCCCCATTGGCTTCCATAGCTGTAGCCAAGATCCTGGGGGAGGAGGGGGCGGTACAGGCAGGAGGAGTGGAGGTGGGTGGGGTGAGGAGGACCTCTTTATCAGTGATAGAGACATTGAGACGCAGGGACTTGACTTCTTGTCACAGGGGTCTGCCGAGACTCCGACTTACTCCTCAGAACTCCTGAGGACAGGCGGCAGAGCCGGAGCAGGGACCCATGGCTCGAACCGCAGTCTGGCCGGCGGTCACGCATCCTTGCCCTCTACTGGCAGCAACGAGTTGCTGAACATGCCACACGTACGGCTAAAATAGACCCAGCTACATGTCGGGAAGGCACACCAATCTCACCTCAAAAAGACGGTTTTTATCCTTTTTGGAGGGAAGTGGGTGGGTGGGAATATTACATGGGGTCTTCCTCTGTTTATATTCATGTTGATCCATTTGATAAGAATCACAGTATTTTCATACAGGCTGACCATATGACATATCATTGCATGAGTTTTGTTTTAAAGTGTGATTGACAAATCTGAGATAAGAGCCTGAGAAACGTCAACAGAGACACCCAAAAGCCTCCGCTGTTAAACTTGGGTTGGTATGAGACCTTGACATACAGCATGAAGTGCATGCTTATTGTAAAGAGGTACAGAGATTTGAAAGGTACAGTTTGCAGTCGAGGCCATGGGCTCCTAACACTTATTGAAACCCTCTCTGAGAATGGCCATGTTCAGTGTATAAAAGCCACATTTTGTGTGTCTCCCATCAAACAAGACGTTTCCACACTGAATTGATGTTACGTCACTACTGCCAGATGCATTCTTTCTTTCCCATCTTTAACCTCTTAAGATTCACAAGGTCATTGATGACATATCTTAGGTTTCGGTTTCTTAGCATCCAACCCATTTTTGAACATTTTCACCTGTTTGGAAAATGGAAAATCTTTTTATAGAAAAACTGTAATGCTGAAATGAACAAGACTTAATTCTGAGATGTAACGCCGTCTTTGTTTCTGGAAATTTGGCCTTGTGGCTAAAATAAGACCCAACTTTAACCATAATCGGGATCTGAAGTTGAGAGGGTAAATTTTATGAAACTAAAGCAATACATTCAAAGGACAGAATTTAAATTATTTTAGTTTCAATCAAACTTTTAAAAAGAACTCTATTAAAAAGGAATATACCAGTGTAATGTGAATACAGGCAATACGATTTACGTTTTCATGCATGTTTTTTTTCCCGTCTTTACAGCAAGAACAACAAATTTCTTGTGGTCTTAGGTAAAACTCTGTTTTATAAGGTGCAAGAACACACAGGGAAGGTAGGGGAGGGGCCAGTTGCATTCAGAGATTTGATTGGGCAACCAAGTGTCAGTAATTAAAATGAACAAATGGGCTCCTGTTAGTGCTTGTAGAGCCCCCCCAAAAAGAAAAAATATATACACTGATGTTTTGGAGCATAATGATGTTATCAAGTATTGTTATGTTAGTATAAGTACAGTTAGATTCTCTGAGCACCATGGTTCTTTATCTCTTATGTTTTCCATCAAGGTAAAATGATATTTTTGGACTGTTCAACCACAATCACTGACTGTATATAAGAGATGGACGTAGCTTCTAGATCTGAAAAGTGAAGTCAATGCAGAAGTGCCTTAAACCTGCATTCTTTCTGATGGCCAGCAGGGGGACACTCCCTTGGTTCCAAAAGAAAGCCCTGTTGTATAAACTGAGAAAGAAATGTCCCTGCTGCTCACTTCCTCCATGAGTTCATAGTTAAAATCACTAGTTTCAAGTAAAATATTGTTCATTTTGTGAATCGTGATCCCTATTACTGTGCAGGACATAAAGCAGGTTGTCCCTGAGTTTCACCATCAGCTCCACCTCTGCTTTCAAAACACCAAGATGGGAACCCCAAAAATGCTTCATAGCAGGAAATGAGTAACTGATAGGTGAAAGCAGAGTGGCTACCTCCATCTTATATAGTCTTTGTTCACTTAAACTCAGATTCTTTTGGTGTCTTATTTTGAAACTTATACAACCAGAAGCTGCTACTCAGAGGCTCAGCGGGAAGAAAAGATATGCTTTATCCCAAAAAGCCCAACTTTTGTGTACTTTGGGCTTTTTCCAAACACAACAGGTACATTTAAGTGTGGATTTTATCTTAAGTTGGGGAGTGGAACCACTCCTCACAACACCCTCTTGAAGCTGTTGGTCTACAAATGTTTCCTGCCCTACATATTTGTATATTCTTGTTTCCATGCCCCGCCCTCTCTTCTTGCTATTTGTGGGATCAGCCCAGGAGCTGGCGTTACAACAACAAAGTGATATTCTGCCAAAAAGTGATCCCTGATGTTTCAGTGTGTGTTTTATTTGTAATGTCTTTATTTATATTGATTAATAGACTTGAACAGGATTTTAAAAAGGAGTTTTACATAAAATAACAAAATGACCAGTTTTGCAAGTGTCTTTGTGACCATGTTGGTCACTTAAAACGTCGCATAAGTCGTATTTGTTTCAACTACTGCTGCGCTCTTGACCAGATCACTCTTAAAGACATTTTTGATATCACTGAGATTTGTTAACCCTTTAAGACCTACCATAGAACCAAGTCCGCCAGAGCTTATATTATATTTTTACATGCTGTGGAGCCATTTTTGGGAGCATTTCAAGTTGCTATA